CTCATACCAGACAACAAAGACTTCAAAGCACCAAAAGTAAATACAGTCATTATATACTGGTAAAGGGAACAATTCAATAAGAAAACACAATTCTATATATTTATGTACCTAACACAGGTGCACTCAGATTTACAAAGCAAATACTCCTTGATCTAAACAAAATGATAAGCTGCAACATCATAACAGCTAGGGACAGATACCACAAGCAGAAAATACAAAACAGGTGTCTTAAATAAGACTTTAGAACAAATGGGCTTAACAGACATTTATCGAACATTTTACCTCAAAACTACTCAATATACATTCTTCTCATCAGCACACAGAACATTGCCCAAGATCGATCACATCTTAGACCACAAAACAAAAAAATAGAAATTATACCATTTATCTTCTTAGAACACAGTGGAACAACTCCAACAGAAACACTCAATTCTGCCCACAAAGTCCTGGAAATTAAATGACCTATTGCTGAATAATTATTGGGTCAAAGAGGAAGTCAAGATGGAAATCACAAGATTCTTCAAATTAAATGATGAAGGGAACACAAGTTATCAAATAGCCGTGGGATTCAGTAAAAGTAGTCCTAAGGGGAAAATGCATGGCCTTAAGTGCCTACATCAAATACAGAAAGATCATAAATCAGCAATCTAATGAATCATCTCAAGCAATTACAAAAGGAAGAGCAAACTAATTCTAAATTCAGCAGAAGAAATAATTAATGTCAAAGCAGAACTAAAAATATCAATAATAAAAGAATTACACAGAAATAAAAAGCTGGTTCTTTGAAAAGACAAAATCAACCTCCCTGCTAGATTAACTAAGAATGAAAAAGAAAGGGCCCTAATAAATTCAATCAGAAACAAAAAAAGGAGATATTACAACTGATAATACAGAAAAATACAAAAACGTCATCTCTAAATACTGTAAAAACTTCTATACACATAAACTAAAAAATGTTGAGAAAATGGACAAATTCTTGGAAAATCACAAGATCCCTAGGCTCACTCAGGAAGAACCGGAACTCCTGAACAGAAGGGTATCAAGCAATAAAATTGAAGCAGCAATAAAAATCCTTCCAATAACTACAACAACAAAGTCCTGAAACAGATGGTTCACAGCCCAATTTTACTAGACCTACAAAGAAGAACTGGTGCGTATACTGCAGAAATTATTTCATAAGATAAAGAAGGAATGAATCCCCTCCAACTTGTTCTACAAAGCCAACATCCCCTTTGACACCAAAGCGAGGAAAGGGCAGAACAGCAAAAGAAAACTAGAGACCAACATCCCTTATGAACATAGACGCAAAAATTCTCAAAAAAATTCTAACAAACCAAATTCAGCAGCACGTCAAGAAAATTATCTACTACAACCAAGTTGGATTCATTCCAGGGATGCAAAGATGGTTAAATACATGTAAATCTATAAACAAGATTCACCACATAAACAGAAGCAAAAACAGAGACCATATGATCATCTCAATAGATGCAAAGAAAGCATTTGACAAAATTTAGCATGCTTTAATGATAAAAAACTCTTAATAAAATAGGCATGGATGAAACATACTTTAAAATAGTAAACACCATGTATGGCAAACCCACAGCAAACATCATCTAAATGGGGAAAAACTGAAAGCATTCTTTCAGGAAATAGACATAGCTGTCCACTGTCCCCACTTCTATTCAGTATAATGCTAAGAAATCCTAGCCAATGCAATCAGACAAGAGAAGGAAATTGAGGATATCTAAATAAGGACAGAAGAGGTCAAGCCTTTGCTATTTGCTGACAATATGATCTTATATCTAGAAAACCCTAAAGATTCTGCCAAGAGACTTCTGGAATTGATAAATTCTGCAGAATCTCAGGTTACAAAATCAACATTCACAACATTCCTACACACCAACAACAGTCAAGCTGAGAATCAAACCAAAGGCTCAATACCTTTCATAACAGAGACAAAAAAACACAGAGTATTTAACTAATGAGGTAAAAGACCTCCACAGGGAGAATTACGAGTCGCTGAGGAAGGAAATCAGAGAGGACACAAACAAATGGAAAAATATATCATGCTCATGGATCCAGAGAATCAACATTGTTAAAATGTCCATACAACCCAAAGTGGTCTGCAGATTCAATGCAATCTCCATTAAAATATCAAAACATTTTTTGGGCTGGGTATGGTGGTGGCTAACACCTATAATTCTAGTACTCTGTGAGGCCAAGAAGGATGGATTGCTTGAGCTCATGAGTTTGAGACAAGCCTGAGGAAAAGCGAGACTCTGTTTCTACAAAGAATAGAAAATCTGAAGCAAGAGAATTGCTTGAGCCCAAGTTGGAGGTTGCTGTGAACTATTCTACCACAGCACTCTACCCAGGGACTCTGTCTAAAAAAAAAACGAAACAGTCATTTTTTTGAGGATCAAGAAAAAATAATTCTGTGCTCTGTATGGAAGGAGAAAAGAGTCTAGATAGCCAGAACAGGCTTTAACAAAAAGGACAAATCTGGAGACATCACTTTAGCAGACTTCAAGGCCATAGTAACCAAAACAGCATGATACTGGCACAAGAACAGAGACATAGACCAATGGTGCAGCACAGAGAATCCAGATACAAAATCATCCTAATATTGCCATCTGATCTTTGACAAAGCAGACCATAACACACTAGGGGAAAAGAATCACTATACAATAAATGGTTCTAGGAAAATCAGATAGCCACACTTAGAAGATTGAAAGGGAATTCACACCTGTCACCACTCAAAAATTAATTCACGATGGGTAACACACTTAAATCTTAGCCATGAAACTAGAAAAATTGTAGAAGAAAGGTTAGAAATCTCTTATAGATATTAGCCTCGGCAAAGAAGACCCCATAGACAATCACAAAATTAATAAATGAGACCTGATTAAATTAAAAGCTTCTGCACAGCCAATGACCATCAATAGAATAGACAACCTACAGAATGGGAGAAAATATTTGCATGTTACACATCCAACAAAGGGCTGGTAACCAGAATCTATAAGGAACTCAAGCAAATAAGCAAGAAAAAATCAAACACCCCCCCCCCCAAGTGGGCAAGACATGAACAGAAGCTTTTTCAAAAGAAGATAAATAGGCAATAAACATATAAAATATGCTCAAAATATCTAATCATCAGGGAAATGCAAATCAAAACCACAATGAGACATCACCTAACTCCAGTGAGAATGGCTCTCATCAGAAAAAGGTCCCAGAACAATAAATGCTGGTGTGGATGTGGAGGGAAAGGGACAGTTACACACTGTTGATGGGACTGCAAACTAGCACAGCCTCTATGGGAAGTTGAGCACCTTGATACATCAAAGAATGAAAAGCAGACCTACCACTTCCTCCAGCAATCTCACTAGTGGGGATTTACCCAAAGGAAAAGAAGACATGTGCACTGGTTTACTGCAGCACAATTTATAATTGCAAAGATGTAGAATCAGCTGGAATGCCCAGCAATATGTGTGCAGATTAATGATATGTACACCATGAAGTGCTACTCAGCTATACAAGAAACGGGAACTAATAACACCTGTCATACCAACCTGGATGGAGATGAGACATCTGCTAAGTGAAGTATCACAAGAATGGAAAAACAAACTCTGCATGTGCTCACTATTAAACTGGAACTAATACATGGACACCCACGTTACACACTGGGTAGTAAAACTCAATGGAAAGCAAGTGGGGGAGGGGGAAGGGTAAATTCATACCTAATGGGTATCACACACACTATCCTGGTGCCGGCACACTTATAACTTAGGCTCAAATTGTACAAAGCAATTCATGTAACCAAAACATATTTATCTCTGTAATATTCTGAAATTTAAGGAAAAAACCCCCCAAAATAATGAGACCCCCTCTTTGTTTTTTTTCTGGCTATTGAACTGTTCTGCTTAAACATGACATGTCTGAGCCTAAGCCCCCAGGGACTTCAGCGTCCTATACATTTCTATTTTTTTTTATTTAGCAGTTTTGGCTGGGGCCGCCACCTCCAGTATATGGGGCCAGCACTCTACTCCTTTGAGCCACAGGTACTGCCAGTGTAAAGAGCAAAAGCATCTGCATGGTGATGTAGGCATAGTAGGGAGAGGGACAGAGTCTGGTGTGAATATGAACAAACAAGACAGGCTCATAGTCGCCGATAAGGGACCAAGCTCAACCTTTAAGAAAAGTCAATGTTTTGGTTTCCATTACTTTGATTTTGAGTTAAAGTTCTATAGATCTTCCTGGACCAAGTGCCCAGCAAAGGACAAGGTGCACACACTGTGGTCTGGTCTCTCTCCCCTGTCTCTTTCAAGGGACCCAGGTGCTCCCAATTCGTTTTTTTTTTTTTTTTTTTTTTTAATTGAGACAAAGTCTCACTTTGTTGCCCTTGGTAAAGTGACTGCTATCTGGCGTCATAGCTCACAGCAACCTCTAACACCTGGGCTCAAGTGATTCTCTTGCCTCAGCCTCCTGGGTAGTTGGGACTACAGGCACCAGCTGCAATGCTATTTTTAGAGACAGGGTCTTGCCTTTGCTCAGGCTGGTCTCAAACCTGTGAGCCCAGGCAATCCAGAGAGCTGGGATTACAGGCATGAGCTACCTGCCAGGAGCAAATGTTCCAAATTCTTACCCCATTGTTATGCAAAGCAGATTTTCTTCCCCACCTGGCTGTGTGGCAGCCTGCACTCAAGCCTTCAGGGAACTGACTCATGTCTATGTTAAAGAATTACCTTTGCTAAATAACAGCAGTAATTTTGCTAGGAGAAATTCTAGTACTAGCTGTTAAAGGTAATATACATTTATCTCAACACACACATAAGTCATCTATAAGATCAGCAACATTCTAAATATTTTTACTGATAATGGAAATTATGTGTGAGAACCACAATTATGTGTGAGAACCATGCTTGAGAAATTTGAGGCAGTATTCCCCAAATCACTGTAGCATTTCAACACCTGAGGTAAAATAACCATGGGACACTTCATTGAATTTGCTTTAAAACAAGGTTTATTTGTTAAAAAATGTTAAATACTAAAGCTAAAAACATATAAATTTAGGTCAGGCTATATTAAAAGACACACACAACCTTCTTTGCAAAACTATTAAAGGTTGAATGAAACAGATGCTTTAAATAAAATAAAGTACCTTTGAGGACATTTTTGTCTGATTAACTATATCGGTGTAGTGTAGTTTTCAAAATTACAGTTGAAAAGGTTAGCTGTCTTGGGAGTCGGATTCATCCAACTCTTCAGTCTTCTGTTACTACCCAATACGAAACCACCATCCTGGCGTGGACAGGGTTAATTTCAGTTACATTACTCAACATTCTGTATCACAAATCTAGTTTTCTATACTGTGAACATGAGTAGTCAGAAGTGTACAAAGCATCAAATATAGTGACGATCAGGCCCAGAAAGAAAAAGGCTTAGCTCCTCCTTATAGTGTATTCTCACATTAAAGTCACTGGTGGACACACTGAAGCAGAGAAAGCACAGAGCACACACCAGCTGGACAGAATCTTCCAGTTAAAAAGAAACAAACCCTGCACATTTCTCCAAGATAGTTTTAAGTATTTTCAGATTTCTTGTTATTTTAAATTCAGTTAATTTAAAGGTACTCAAGAGTTGGTCTGCATCCAAATGGATTTAAACACTATTGGATCACTGTCTGGACCAGCTCTGAAGAGCTTTGAATCACTCATACAGATGGGAAAGGACTTTTGTCATGAAAACTACATGCTCCACACCAGCTGAGCACCAGCCTCTAAGTCCAACTCCCACTTACCCTTAAAGAATGTCTCCAGTCTGTTTAAGCATGAAATAGTATTTCCAAGAAAATATTTTGCTTTGCAACTTGTATTTTTCAATTTCCTAGATCAAGTTATTGATTTAGAATTTCAAATGCTGTAATTCATATAGGGGTGAGAATATGTTTATGACGAACAAAAGGATATCACTGCATTTGAGAACTTAAATGTAAATGAATTTCTAGGAATTTACTACAGTATGGATTCTTTACAGGGCTAATCCTTATCAAATGGTTGCCAATAGCTGACTGAGTCAAGTGATTAAATTACAAAAAGCATATAATGCATTCCAGTAATTTTCAGTGATACAAATGGATTAAAATCGGGTTTCTTGGAATATCTATAGGGAATTTTTTCCCCAACAGTGTTGTATACATACCAGGGCTAACAGTATGGGATCCTATTACTATGAAATACAACCAATCAAACCTTTGAAATGTTGGAAACACTATGTATACTCTGAAGTCACTGGAAATTAAAAGAAAAATATATTCCAGTACTGAGTGACAGATGAAAATGACGCTAACAATGGGCAGCGTGCTCTTGCAGCTCTAGGCTGTGAGCTTCGGAAGGAACGACCGGTATGCACGTGATGCAAGAGGAACTCAGTCTGTCCATTCTCGCCACACAGAAAACACGTCTCTGTTAAATCCTGTCCTTTAACTTACTTGGCAATCTGAAGGACAAGATTCATACTATTCCTCATCAAACAGTTTTGAGGTCCTTGAAAACAATTCAGATAATTTAAGCCACTGACCTTCAATCTTAGTAAATACTCATTTAAAAAAAAAGTCTCAAGCTTTCAATGGTAAATTCTCTAGAGGACATGTTTTCCTATGAGTATCTTCATAAATGTGTATTAAATTCAGGCTGGCCAGTCACTCTTATCAATAGTCTCACAGAATGACTGAGAAAGTATTTGTTTATCTGTGGTACAGCACTGTGGGTATGGTAAAGCAGTTTTCCTGTGCTGGCCACCAGCCAAAGTGGCAGTGGAGGCCCTGGGTGGTGCACCTCCCCGCAGAAGCGAGTCTCCATCATGTGAGTGGAGGCCCTGGGTGGTCCACCTCCCCGCAGAAGCGAGTCTCCATCATGTGAGCGCTTCCCTCCAGTGAGCCTCCTTCTCTTCCCTCAGTACTAATGCTTCTTTTCCGCATTCAGAGAGAAAGCTGTTTGAGCAAGAAAACATAGTATAGTTCCTGCCAGGAAATATGCATGATCTGGGGGATGGGGGGCCCAGTGCAAAGTGAAAACACAGGGCCCATCTTTAAACATAAAATATTAAGAATTTCAATACGGTGACAGCAGAACCTTGGATCAAGTGTGGAGCCACACAAGTCACACACGGAGAAGGCCAGTGAGAATTCCAGAAGGAAACAGGTGGCTCAACTTGGTTGTTCAGATGAAAAACAGAATTTTTTTTCCCATTATGATTCAAACCCTGTCACCAGTTGGGAACCAAGTGACATTTCACTTTCAAAACCCCAGGCAAGTTTCTATTCCTAAACTCTCACGATGGACTGATGAGTCTTCTCTTAGATTTCTCATTACAGAAATGAGAGAAATGAGTCCCTCATTACACAGGGACTCTAAATGCTCCTTACTTCAATAGAGCAATTGAACAGACCTATTGAATTAATCCTACAAGATTTTTTAAAAAACTTTTAGCATCTTAACTGGGAAAGGTCTTAATATCACTAATATAATAGGATACCTTAAAGGGCAAAGGTACCTGTACAACAGCTTTATGTTCTAGGGTGAGGCCTTGTAGTCTACGTTATGTTTTATTCCCTTTTAAGACCACAATAGTAGTATTTTCAAAGAGAATTAATAAACATATTTAGCTGTATGCTGACTTTTTTTTTTTTTTAGTGCCTATATTGGTTTAGGTCATAAGAATTTTCCTGGAACCCAGAGGTATCCCATTCTTCATAATAATAATAAGTGAAGTGCATGAAAGCGGCAGGTCACATGACTGAGCAGCGACACTTCCGGGAGTGGATATATTTCCTGTACTCGGCCAGCTGCTGCAAGTACATATTTGATGGCCATCTGTGCTTCTCCACAAAGCTGCGTTCTTCCACTAAAATTTAAAGAAAAAGAATGTTAACCGAATATACTTTATTTCAGATCCAGTTAAGATATTAACTATTGATTTCTATTTAACAGATGAGATCTGCACTCTGATGAATGCCCTCCACCTTCCTGAAAACCTTCCAAAATCATTTAATAACATTTTGGTTAAACTGGTCATCAAGATTTAAGTTACTGTGTGACATAAAATTATGTACCTCTTGTCCACTGCTTCATGAAGTATCATCTGATTGTTTTCCTATTCTTTTTCAAAAAAACTTTTTTTTCTTCTTGGAGATAAGTGACTCATTTTCTCCATTTAGTTTCTTTGTAGCTAACTCAATATTCCAAACTTTTTTTTTTTTTTTTTTTTTTTTGCAGTTTTTGGCCAGGGCTGGGTTTGAACTTGCCACCTCTGGCATATGGGGCCAGCGCCCTACTCCTTTGAGCTACAGGCACCGCCCAATATTCTGAACTCTTTAATGTCCTCTCAATCCTATTTCCCATCAGGCCACCATCATGAGATGATCCACCCTGCCGCCGCCTTGAGATCGGGTCTCTCCTTCCCTGAACTCTAGGTCCTGCATTTGTGTATTTGCTAGTTTGGACAGAGCACACCTTTATTAGCTTCCCCAAAAAGGGAAGTCTAAGAAGTATTTTTGAGCCCTTGATATCTTTAGTCTGTCCTCATGCATGATTGATAATTTGGTTTGGTATAGAATTCTAGGATGAAAGCTTCCCTAAGGAAGATAGTACTCCACTGTTTTCGAATTTCCAAGTTGTTAAGAACGCTACTACCATTCAGAGTCACAGTCCTTGGTAGGTGATCTGTGTTTTGTTTCAATCTTGGAAATGTCTAGATTCTTCCATTCATATTCAGTGTTCCAATGTATACTAACGACAAATACACTGTGTATTCATTAGGCAGAGCGCTTGGCAAATCCTTCCAACTTGCTGACTCAGGTTCTTCAATAGTGGGATAACTTCTGTATTATATAGTTGATAATTTCTTCCTTCTTGTTTTTTTTTTTTTTTTTCAGTATGAACATCTACTAGTCAGATACTGCGCCTCCTAGATTGGGCATCCATTGTTGATTGAGACAGGGTCTCTCTCTGTCCCCTCCTTGGAATGCAGGGGCATCATCATCACTCACGGCAATCTCAACTCCTGGGCTTGCGCTGCTCTCCCTGCCTCAGCTTCCCAAGTAGCTGGGAAGCTTTGCTAAGTTGCTTGAATTTGGGGAAGGGACTGAGACTATTCCCTCAGTTAAAATAAAAAGAATAGTTATTCTGGATGCCCACTACGTCTAAGTAATTTTTTTTTTTTTTTTGGTTGAAATAGGGTCTTGCCATGCTGTCTAGCCTGGCCTCAAACTCCTGGCCTCAGCTGATCCTAGTAGTTTGGGAGGAAGATTACAAATGTGAGCCACTGTGCCTCGCTCAATTATTTTTTAAAAATCTTTCCTGTCTTCTTTTCTTTTTTTCCCAGCCCTACTCACCTTTTAGTTCTTATTATTGCTTTTTAAATTATCATATTTTTAATGTGCACAAAGCCTCTGCTGTAATTTTGGCTTGTTTGGCAGTGTGGTCTTTGTGGAACTCCTGGGCACAACAATCGATTTTTGATGTGCAGTTCAGTCATGCTGATCACTTTCACATTGTTGCATGACTAATATCCAGAACTCTTTTCACCTTGCAAAACTAAAATTCTCCCCATAAAACAATTCCCTACGTCTCCCTGGCCCTGGCAACCATCATTCTATTTTGTCTCTGTGAATATTATTTCTTTTTAATAATGCTCTAGTCCTGCTCAGAACATTATTAAAATCTTACAAAGAATGTCTCTCACTCTTTGAGGATATTAATTTCAGGAGTTGGGCTTTGTGGTAAGTTTTCTTCTATTTCTGTGTCTTTCTGTTGCCCTAAATTCATTCTCTTTATTTTTATTTATTTTGTTTCATTTTTGTTACTTATCTTTCTTTTTTTTTTTTTTTTTTTTTTTTTTTT